GTCGAGATAGTAGCGCTAGTATTTGAAGGCTTCTACGATTGCTAAGAGCTCTTACTCGTAGGTCTCGTACCGACGTTCTATATCGATTATCTTCCGTAAAAAGAAGGCAATTAGGTGCTAGTAGTAGTTACTGTCTAACTGCTAAGACATTATAGCTAATATAGCGAACTGCGAAGCGTTAGTCTTAATACGGATTAGTTTGCCTAGTACGAAGTAGTGTAATAAGGGGACTTTAGTAAAGCGCTGCTTTAAACTATTAAAAGCGGCTTGTGCTCTGTTAGTCTATCTAAACTCTCTAGTTGGGTTGGCCTTAGTTTTAGTGAGCTTAGTTAGGGGCATTACATGCCGTAAATAGCCCTTAATAAAGCGGCGGTAAAAGTTAGCGAAGCCGAGGAATAACTAAAGCTCCTTAATACTAGTAGGCGTTAGCCACTTAGTAATAGTCTTAATCCGGTTAGGATTAGCCTTAATACCCTCGGTTAATACGAGGAAGCTAAGGAAGGATACCTCTTTAGTAGTAAAGGTGCATTTAGAAGGCTTGCAATACAGACTATAGGCCCGTAGGCGGTCGAGTACCTTGCGGACTGTAGCCTAGTGCTCCGCAATGTTAGGTAAGTGTATATAAACTAGGATGTTATCTAGGTAAACTATATAGAGGTAGTCTAATAGGCCCGAAAGGGCCCGATTAATATAGGACTAGAATATTATAGGGGCATTAGCTAGGCTAAATAGCATAACTAAGTACTCGAAATGGCTATAGCGAGTACGGAAGGCTGTTTTCTATTCGTTACCCTTACGAATGCGGATACGATAGTATACATCCTTAATGTCTAATATAGTGTAGTAATAGGCACTAGAAAGGCGATCGAGGGTCTTATTAATAAGAGGAAGTAGACAGCGATCTTTAATAGTAACAGTATTAAGCCTACGGTAATTAATACATAGACGTAGGCTACTATCCTTCTTTAGTACGAATAGGATAGGCGCACTAGTAGGGCTGTTACTATATCGTATCTAGCTATTAGCTAGGTTTTCTTCTAGGTACTTACGTAATATAGCAAGCTCGCGCTTACTAAGGTTGTAGAGTAGTCTAAAAGGAACCTCCTTGCCCTCTATAATGTTAATCTTATAATCCGTCTCTTTAAACATAGGCAATGTCGATACTAGATAGTGTTTAAATATATCAATATAGGTCTCCCGAATAGGCTCTAGTATGCGAGCAAGCTAATTAGGGTCTATGCTATTAGGGGGCATAGGTTCATCGTTATTACTACCGAGTAGGTCGGCGGTCGGATCCGCTAGGGTTAGGTTGCTAATAAATAGGACCCTAATATTATTAGGGCACTCGCTAACATTAATATGTTTAATATCCTCTTTCCTAGCGATTCTAAATCGCTACTTCTAAATGCCTAAGTCTATAGCTACAGTATAGTGCTTAAGAATAGGGTTGCTAATAACAATAGTAGCTCCCCTATATAGGTTGTCTATATCTACTGCGTAGGCAGTGAAGTCTAGTAGGCGTTCATTTCCGAGGTCGTCCTTTAGAGCTATAGGAACATAGTAGGCCCTATAGGTCAAGTGCCGAGCGTTATTAAACTAAGCAAGGGTTGGTAGGTTAGTCTTCGGCAGTTATCGAAGGTCTAATTGCTTAGCTAGGCGATAGCTAATAAGGGCACTAACTGAATTTCCTAGATCTAGTATAACCTTAGTTTAATAAGTAGTGCCCTTCGTGTCCTATATAAGGCAGAAGCGTGTTATAGCTAGTACAATGTCGATAGTCTTACGCCGTACGAGGCTAACAGTTAGTGCGGCGCTTACTCTTTTTTCGACTAATAAGAAGGTTAGCCTATAGAGGTAGCGTTAGCTACTAAGAGGTGCTTTCGGTATTCGGCGGTAGTACGGTCGATTCGGGCCTAGTCCTTAGGTTTGTCGCATTAGCCTAGTAGATAGCTAGTGCTGTTATAGTTAAAGCACTTCAATCCGGTCGGGAGATTGTTACCGTAGCTATTATTGCTACTATTATTAGTCGAGCGGTTAGCATTATAGGGATACGAGCCCCTTCTACGGCCCCTATTACGGCCTCCTCTATATAGCCGCCGGCTACGACCTCTTCCGCGGTCGTTACTATTCCTATTATTAGCACTATTGTTTTAGTAGGACCCTTAGCTATTGCCTCCGCGGGCACTACGATTGCCGCGGTTAGTGCTAGCTAGTCGGATCCTCGATTCTAGTCGTTGCTAGAGCTAAACAGCCCGCTCGGCTGTTTCTACTTCGACTATGAATTGAATGCGTATTAGGTTAGCCTATTCAAATACACGGCGGCGGTCCAATTTAAGGACTAGTTCCTATCTTAGTTTAGGTCGTATCTTAGATATCTAGATAGAGTCGGTTTTAGGTAGCAAATCGTCCTTAAGGGTCTTTAGATAGGCCTCGAAGGATCGAGAGGTTTAGTCGGCCTTTTGTTTAGTACGTAGGTATTAGCCTTAGGCGTACTGCTAGCGCAATATAGGGTTACTAAGGGTGTTTAATATAATAGTCTTATAGTCTTGCTATTAAATAGCGGCCTAATCATTAAGAGAGTCAAAATAGTTATCCTAGGTGCGTTTTAGGTCGCTATTAATGTATTGCATAGCGTAGACGACTAATAAATAGTTATCTAGCAGGGCCCTTAGTGCATTCCGCTAGTTCAATTTACAATTACGTATGTGATTATTGTACTGCTTGCGGCTAGAGCTATTAAACACGGTACAATCCTTAAGTTTAGTATCCTTCTTTTAAATAGCTAGTAAGGAAGGTCCTACTATTAGCTTAGCATTAGTTGCTAAGGCTTCCTATAGGCGATGAATTTCGAGGAGGTTATCCCTTAGCTATTGTTCTTAACGTAAGGCAGTAAGCCTATTCTAAGTAGCCTCTTAAAGTCTCGTTATCGGCTAGGGCCCGAAGGCTAGTTAGCTATATCGATAGTTAACAATATTGCTAAGAATGTCGTTAACGGGCAACGATAGGTTATTTCCTTCGATTATAGGTTCTTTAGTAGGCCCTCTAGTAGGCTCTTCGGTAGGCACCTTAGTAGGAGGCACTTTAGTAGGCACTTTAGCAGGAGGCGCTTTAGTAGGCACTATGCCGCTAGCGTTGTCGTTGCTAGCGCTGCTAGCGGCAGTACGGTTATTGTTTCGTAATAAACCGGCTATTGTAAAGGGCGTTACTAATAGTGTATTATTAGCCCCTAAGATGCGGATATAGCGGAATTAGTAGATATCGGCCTAGTATGCTTAACTTAGTATAATACGCCGTATAGAAGGCCTTGCTTAATAATTGGTACGGTTGTTTTAATAGAATAGTACGTATAGGTCCCGTTCTTTAGGCGTAATATAGTTAAATCGATAGTTTTCGTAGCTATACCGCTAAAAGCTTAAAATAAGGACTATCTAGCTGCTACCCTTAAAGGGTAGATCGAATACTATATAAGAAGGGTTATATTAGCAGGTAGATAGGGTAGTAGTAAATTAGTATAGTATTCGATAGAGAACTAGGAGGAGAAGGAGGAAGGTAGGCTAGTTAGCCTACTACTAAGCGCCAAGCTCTGCCTAAGGTATTAAGACCCTAGCTTTACTCGAGCCCGATTATATACTAATTACGTATAACCTCTTTAGTTCTAATAGTATAGAGTAGAGGAACTAGACTAGAGTTAGGAAACTGTTAGGGTACTTATAGGCTCTTGCCTCGACTAGTACCCGCTTCGGCAGGTGCTAGTATAGAGTAAACAAACCTAGATAAGGAAGGTAGGCCGCCTAGTCTAGTAATTAGAGGGCTATAGGGCGCCGTCGGTATATAGCTATATATATACGAAAGATAATATACGGAATTTAGAGGACTGTCGTAATCGTCTCGGTATCGAGCGTAGGTAGTTATTATAGTTAGGTAGGTAGGTCGGTACCGCTAGTACGGGACCTCGCGGTCGCGTTTTTTTAGTTTTTTAAGGTATCTGTTCGTCTAGTACTTAGGTACTATTTAAACGGATCTAGATCTAACTAAAGCGAAGCTACTAATTATTATACGAGGGACGATTAGTAGGTCTGTAATAGTATAGTATTAGTAAGAGTATCTACGGTCCTACGGAAGTATATATAGGCCCGGCGTTCCGTACCTACTATAATACTAATTTCTTTAGTACGAGTATCGCGGTTCTCTCCTAAATAGTTAATAAGATTAGAGAGTAGGTCCGAGATTTAAGGAATTAAGACTATTTCGCTCTTACCCTATTAGGATCGCTACCTAACTACCTACTACCTCTATAGGGTACTATAGTATAGTAATAGAGCCTACTATCTAGTATATAGTATATATATTATATATTATACTATATATATAGCCTTTACGGCCGGAGGCTTAGTATATACCTATAGAGGAGTTATATAATACGCTAGTAATAGCCTAGATATAGGCCTAGTAGCCGGACTTCCTAGGTTATTAAGGTATTTATATAAGCCCTTACCTATGTATTCCGGGTATATACTAGTATATTATACGGTGTATATAGGGCTAATTCCTAGTATACCGTATATCCACATCCCTACTATAGTGTAAGCTGCCTATTAGCTCCGCCGCCAACAACACGCCCTGGACGATTTAAACCCTGCAGTCAATCTCGGGAGACTCGGAGAGGGGCAAGCTGACCGGGAAGATGACTGTGAACAGCAACAGCCTTTCACGATATCGTCTTCATTCAACTAACCAGAGGCAGAACCTCCAAGAACCACGTGGCTAAGGACGTGCAGCTCATTCTGATTGTTTCTTCCGACTCTTTCCATAAACGTATTCCACTTGCCAAGACGTCAGCAAGCCAGGCTTCTCGTATATCGCATGGAACAGACGTATGACCAGGAGAGGGAGCGCGCATACCTATAAGAGAAGCCCGCACTGACAATTCGAGGTCAGTGAATTGTAAAGACACCAGCAGAAGCTCAACCTGACGACAACAAAACATACTCTGCGTCAACATGAGACTATCCTTCCAACAATCTCTCATCTTCGCACTCGCCGTCATGGCCCCTGTTGTGATTGCTTGCAAAGGAGCAGGTGTAAGTAATCGTTTACATCAATCATGAGAGAATTCGGACCGGCTGAGATGCTGTTGATAGCAATGTGGCGAAGACTACTGCAGTAAATGCAGCCACACTTGTATTTCTGCTGGCTCCTGTGATAATTGTCCGTCTGGTTGTTGGTGAAGCGTGGGAGGTCTGTTGGTTGTCGCGGTAGCGATGCGTAGTCGACAAGAGAGCTGTGTCTTTGATCATAGAGAGTGGAGGTCTTTCTGGGGGAAGCAGGTTGTCAGTATCACAATTCATAACGATCGTCTCGCGTATCATGCCTGAGCATCTTCTCTTGTTGCTATATTCTTGAGAACAGCGATTGCACGTCAAGCATGCATGTGAGGTCGACCGTTTGCATGTGACGTCGACCATTTGCATGTGACGTCGGCCGTTTGCATGTGACGTCGGCCGTTTGCATGTGACGTCGGCCGTTTGCATGTGACGTCCAAGCGTGCAAGTGAGGATTACCGATTACAGCTACTCGAGGCGTCGATGCATGTGCCAAGACCCTGGTGTTCAAGATTTAAACTGGCCACATCCTGCTCTTGTGCAATCAACTCACACCAACTTGGCCATTCTATAATTCGTCGTCAACAGCTGTGAGTCAAAGTGCGATCGAACCAGCACAACATACTAACACAAAGCATAGACAAACGATGGCGCCTCCAACGGCGGTCTCAGCGCTAGCTGCTCCGACGCAGGCGTCTGCCGCGTCTCGAGTCTTCGCTATTCCAGAGCTACTCGAGGAGATTCTGCTGCAGTTAGCTTCCGACACTTTGCTTCCAACATCCAACCTCCGAAATGCGGATTTACAATGGTACCCAATGCCGGCCGACCAACTGGCACTCTCGCTGTTCACCGCCCAGCGTGTCAGCAAAGGCTTCCTGAACACCATCCGAGGCTCAGTCAAACTCAAGCCGCTCATGTGGCGCGCACCTGTGGAGGAAGTCGAAGAAGACAACCTACCCCTTCGGAATCATCGCCCACTGGAGTGCTTGCTAGGTCGCATGGGCAGAGGATTTTTCAGCAGAGAACCATGCTTGATCAGCGAACAAGGCTCTGAGTGTGTCCGTGTCGGGGCTAGGGAAGATTCTGACGCCTTCGACGGCAAGTTTGAGGATACATTGGAGGCAGCATTGCGGTGGGGCTGGCTTAATCCTGAAGCTTCTTGGAGGGACATCCCGATCTGCCACACGAAGTCGGAGAAGAACATCATTCTTCAATTGGCCACTAGTACCATCAGCTACCCCGATATTGGTACGGCTGTCATGAAGTGGGATCTCAGCCCAGATACCACATTGGGACGTGTCTACGAGCTCTTCCGCAGATTCTTCAAACTGGTCGATCAGCAGCGGGTGATCAAGGTGGAATATGACAGGCAGTTTGCGGAGGGTGCGAGGGATGCCATGCGTGCCGGGCTCGAGACGGAGGCCTGCGCTTACGGTATGTTCGGACAACACAACTTTGGTTCTTCGTGCACGCACAGGAAAGAGATGCTGACGATAATGAAGGCCTTCTGACGACTTTGGATCCCTATCATCTTACTTATCTTAATTGAGCCGCAGACGCTTTGCAGCCTATGACCGTCGCGCTTTACGAATTTCGATGCGCTTCAACCAGACTTGCTCAATTTTGCCTCGGACGGCTCGCCCTATCTCGACCAGTACAGTGGCTAGTGTGCTGCTCCGGTCGTGCAAGCACAGACGTAAGGGCTCCGATGCTGCTGTGGCATTCGAATGGGATTCGCGATATCGTTGTGCCGCAGTGCCGACATTGATGGCATCCCGACATGGTTCGAGGGGGGCTGAGAGGTTCAAAGTCCATTCAACGAGACTACGGAACTCCATTTCAATGCATTACACATCCTTCGAGGCATGCTGTCGTCCATTATCCGCCGAACGATGGGCAGGGCCCGTTCCTGGCCGATAGCGCACGCTACCCGCTCACGCTTTTTGATACTCCTGTACACCATGCAATACAAGTCCTTCGCGATGCAAACAACCACAGTTCTTCTATGGACTCAAGCATTTTCTCCGACCGTTTGCTGTGGATGCGTTAATCGATCTGATGTAGTAAAGCAAGCACTCATGCGACTTACCACAAGCCAATCCATACCCTCATTCACGCCCTTGCCTGTCACAGCTGAGCATGCCATTATACTCCAGTTCCTGTCCTTCAAGCTCCCCAGTCCGAGAGCTTCGCTTATCTCCCCAGCTCCTTTCGCGCCAGGTTGATCTTGCTTATTCGCGAATACCAGTAAGCTCGCGTCTCTCAGCTCTTCTTCCGCCAACATGCTCATCAACTCCTCCTTCACCGTTTCTAGTCGCTCGATATCGGTAGAGTCCACCACGAATACAACTGCCGCAGTATTGCTGTAATAGCACCGCCAATACGGCCTTATCGAGGTCTGCCCGCCAAGATCCCAGACATTGAAGTTGAGGTTCTTATACGTTACGCTTTCCACGTTGAAGCCTATTGTGGGTATTGTGGTGACTACCTCGCCGATCTTGAGACGGTAGAGAAGAGTGGTCTTGCCCGCGTTGTCGAGACCGAGGATTAATATTCTGATCTCCTTTTTGCTCCATAGGAGTTTGCTGAATAAGGACACTGCGCCGCCCATGGTTGCGAATAGTGATGGAGCTCCAGGCTCCGGAATTGGTAAGGTGTTTCTATCTGGACGCGGGAATGGTTTGGCTTGGAGGAGCGTATTTCGAACGATGCGGAGGATGAATTGGGCCTGACCCTTGAATTGAGAGCAGGCTTTCGGCTTTGCGAGGTCAAACAGTGGATGGAAGTGGTTCGATGCGGCATGACATTCAAGCTGCTTAACAATAATGAGATCAGTCTGTAAGCAGGCAGGGAGAGGTCGGCGCCCGGAGAAACGTGGCGCCGAGATATCTCCTCCTTCCAGCCGTCCTTTCTTTCTGCTCTGCTTCACCAGTCAGAAAGGCTCCACGATACGAAAGCGCGAATGATGCATCGAAACTGGCAGCTCACACAAGTCGATAATTCAATGTGAAGAAGTTTTCAAAAGAAAGTGTAATCACTACATACACTTGGCTTCTCTTCGAAGGCCTTGCACTTGCTATAGAACTAAACATCATAGGACCGTCGGGCATCGCACTGTTGGACAGGCAAACGTCAGGGTACGGGGACAGACGCTGAGATGGCGGCATGCATGGGATCCAGCACCATTCTGGCTATACTAAGCCGCTCTCTTCTCCCCACAGATCAATCCTGTCACGTGCGTCGTCCTCGTCGTCGTCTTCTTCTTGCTCTTCCCCTTCATCGTCATCATCATCGTCATCGTCATCATCCATCAAGTGCGTGATGAAGTATACATTGATCGAAGGCTGTGGAAGAATAATTTCGCCGCCTCTCCCCTCTGCGTAGCGGTGGCAATCTCCAGGCGCTCCTGGTGAGATGGGGAGATGGGCGTTATTTGTTGAGGGCCTGGATCGCAAGCTTCGTATCGTCACAGAGAACTTCCTTGCGATTTGCGGTGCATGCTCGGCACATCTTATCGTAATCTTATCTGATCCAACCACACTGATGCTCATCACCCATGTGGAAGCGGCAGTTGCGTTTGGCTTCCATTGTGCATCGCACTCACATCCGACTTGATCTTGCTCTCCGGGCCATTAGTGTGGCCGTGATCCTTGGCCCGGACCAGTCTCGAAGAACAAATGGACGGCCGCTGTCCAATGCAGTGCGTAGAAGCTCTCCTGAGCTTCTTTGTTCCACAATTCTGTATATTTTCCCTATTGATTGAACGGTCGTTGGCAACTGAAGCGCAGATCAAAGTAAAATCACACTATGCGTCGGCCGATAGCATTGGGCCTTCTGCTGTGCTTTTCGGGCACCCGAGCCAGCTACGTGCCCTGGCTTGATAAGTCGGAATACTGCGTCCAGGCGTGTGGCGTCATCTACGGAAAAGTATGGTTTGACTCGCAAAACCCTCTTTCGCTGCCATGCAGAGGCATGAACGCGATCAAATCTTTCTTCTACTGCGCAGCAAAACATTGTACAGCCGCAGAGATTGAGGAAGGCCTGGAGGCAGCAAATGCGAGCTGTATAGCACAAGGTCCGGCTCTGCCCAGCTACGAAGCTTTTCGATCGAATCCCAAGGCCACACCTCTTGCCAATGTCACCATCATCTCTGCCAAGGATGCTAAGAAGACGAACTTCACGGAGCCAGTGCTACCTTCCGAGGAATGGTTCAGCCTGGCTTACAGGTCAACGACCGTCAGAGAGCGCTCTTTCATGTTCAACTTCAGCTTCTCCTTCGCACTTTATGCATACTGGGCGATGGTGTTCCTGGTGGGAAATCTATGGCGGACTAAGACCGAGCTCAAAACAGAACTTCAACCTTTTCTCCTTCGACCACTGAAGAGCGGCAGCAGACATCATATGGCCGCGACCAGAGCAGAAGCATTGGCCATATTCGGTCATCTTGCTCTGGCTTTCATCTTCTGCTTTGTCGGCTACGAGGACGTATCAGGCAACATTTATGTTCCTGATCACAAGTTGAATCTGGGAAAGCTTATCTCGAACCGGCTTGGGACACTCGCTCTGGCACATATTCCACTCGTATGGATCTTCGCTGCAAGAAACAACCCGTTGCTCTGGTTGATGTCTTGGCCGTATGATGCATTCAGCCAATTTCACCGATGGATCGGCCGCATGCTTGCTGTGATCGCCCTCGGACATGCCATTGGATATACTATTGTTCGCCATAAACAAGGCACCTATCACGAAATGTGGAGTGAAGCATACTGGCACTATGGTATTGCGGTAAGAGATCTAGAGCAGTAAGATACGGATTTGATCAATACTAACTCATCGCAGACCCTCGCTTTTATTTGTACAATGGTCGCACTCTCGAACTTCTTGTTCCGGAGAAAGGCGTACGACACATTTCTGCTTGCCCACATCGTGCTTGCCATCACAATATTGCCCATGCTATGGATGCATTATGATATCCTGGACGACAAAAGCGCCTATCGTGGCTTCCTGTGGCCGGCGATTGTGATTTGGATCTTCGACCGGCTGCTGCGAATTGCACGTCTAGGCTATATTCATCTTCGTAGTACTAAACCGTCGAGCAATCCAGCTATTATTTCTGGCACACAAGGATCAGAGCTTCTGCGAATCGAAGTGACCGACCTTCTCCCGGCCTCAGAATTCCCACTTGCTGGACGTTACTATTTCTTGTACGAGCCTGGCAGACTGCGCGGTTATGAAAGTCACCCGTTCACAATATGCTCCTGGGTTGAAAAGAGAGCAGACACAGCACAGCCCAATGACAAAGCTCCCGAGGCAAAAATCCGCGAAATCACTTCAGATGAAATCGCTAAACAAGAATCAGTGGCACCGAGGCCCCAAGTCTTAGCGAAGAACATGCGGCACACGTTTCTCATACGTCCTCAAAATGGCTTCACTCGCCATTTGCAGGCGAGGCTGTCTGCTCCATCGCCCAACACGCACGAAGAAGGAGATGGGAGTATAGTCATCACTCGTCCGCTACGGCTCCTGTTAGAAGGACCATACGGACACCGCCCTGCTCTGGGAGACTTCAAATCTATAGTCCTCTTCATCGGCGGTTCAGGCATCACAGCAGCAGTGTCACAAATTTACTCGTTACTCCAAGCTGCTACGACGCCAAGCATACATTTGGTCTGGGCCGTGCGTAAAAGAGCTACGAGCGACGATGTCTGTTCCCACGAGCTTAAAAGCGCTCTCGCCCATCCCCAATTCAAGCTCGATCTCTACCTGACCGGTGATACGCCGCAAACCGCGGATTTGGAGAAGACTACTCTTCCTACCGAGCCTCAATATAAACAGTTTCCTGGACGACCAGATATTGAAGCTATTGTGCAAAAAGAAGCGAGACAAGTGAATGGCAAGCTTGCGGTCTTCTGTTGTGGACCTTCGGGTTTGGAAGTCAGTTGTAGAAAGGCCGTGGCGAGTGCGATGGTTGAGAAGAAGGACATCGGGATACATGTAGAGCGATTTGGGTGGTAGAGGACTACTGCTACGAATCACGATTTTTCACAGTGTGTCAATCACCGATTCCAACGGGCTTTCTTATCCAACATCTAAATCCAGATGATATAGATTACAATCCTAGAATACCAATACGTACGTACTTTTGAACGATTCGCTACGTCCCAGCGACGTCCCAACCCCAAATCTGGACAGGCAGTCCATGGTGGAAACCAACATTGTAATTTACCTCAGGGTGTGAGTGGAGCAGATCTGTCTTATCAACTCTCCTCCAGAATGGTGGCGCAAAGCTCGACAGCCGCAGACGGAGGAGTAGTTGTGTAATGGTGGGTGAGTGCCGGGATGCTGAGGGAAGGCGCACACGCGAAAAGAGGCAGGACGGTGCGGGAAGTGATTCTTTGCGTCCGAGAGTCGAATTGGTGCAAGCCAGAGCCGTGAGGATCGGATGGAGGTTGTGAAGTGACCCTAGATTGAGGCTGGAAACGCCGTCAGCTATGGGTGAATGAATTGTAGATTCTTGTCAGGTTGATATGGATGAAAGTGGGTCATGTCATGCGGGCAATTTCAGTCTTCGAACGATCGACTGACGGTAATCGTTGCAGGTAGTGTACATGCTCTATCGTAGGGTTCGGTCTCGAGGACCATGCAATGCTTCGTCTATGCGTAGAAGTTGACCGTGTCCTGTAATTGATCGTTAGCGAATGTTTCGTGAACGAGGTTGCCACGTTTATGCACACCTTCTTCTTGGCCTGCACTTCCGCAATAGCATCGACGTAATGCTCATGTGAAATCTTGCTCTGGCCACTCCTCAATGCAATCATACCAGCTTCCACACATACGGCCTTCAGCATAGCACCACCGAATTCATCTGTACTCCGCGACAACTCAGGCCAGTTGACCCCCTCGTCCACGGTCATCTTTCTGCTGTGGATTCGCAGAATCTGTGCTCGCGCCTCCTCATTCGGCAGTGGAAACTCGATCTTCCTGTCGAGACGACCAGATCGCAGAAGCGCAGGATCGAGCACATCCACTCTGTTCGTCGCCGCCAGCACCTTGATCCGATCATCTGATGCGAAACCGTCCAGCTGGTTCAGCAATTCCAACATGGTTCTCTGCACTTCACGATCTCCGCTCTTCTCGCTGTCGAATCGCTTCGTTCCCACGGCATCCAACTCGTCAATGAAGATGATGGATGGCGCCTTCTCTTTTGCCAGGGCGAAGCAGTCACGCACAAGTTTTGCGCCGTCTCCAATAAACATCTGCACGAGTTGTGGGCCTGCGAGTTTGAGAAAGGTGGCTTCGGTTTGAGCGGCGCAAGCTCGAGCGAGAAGCGTCTTTCCAGTGCCGGGTGGTCCGTACATGAGGGCGCCTGCAACTGATTAGTCCTGATATGAAAAAATGTGATCATGTAGCAGCATACCTTTCGGCGCCTTGATGCCGATCTTCTTGAAGCGCTCGGCCTCCTTCATCGGCCAGACGACGGCTTCCACCAATTCCTCGATCTGCTTGTCCAGTCCACCAACATCTGTGTACTTCTCAGTCGGCTTCTCGTCGACCTCCATCGCCTTGACTCTGCTGTCATATTCAGCAGGCAGTGTGTCGAGAATGAGATATGAGTCCTTGTTGACACCAATAAGATCACCGGGCTTCAGCTTCTCGTGGTCGACCAGACCGATAAGTGGGAGGAAGATGGTTTGCCTGGTGGATGTCTTGATGACTGCTGACTTGCCGACCCTCGTGGCATCCAGATCGATGTTGGCACCCTCCTCGGCCGCCTCTGCAGTCACGTCTAGATCTAAGATCTCGACCACATTGCCGACGAGATACGGTAACTGGCGGTTGTTATCAATCTTGTCGACGTTGTCCTTGATCTTGTCCTGCATAGACTGCTTCTCGTGTGTCAGCCGCTGGAACTCGCTGCGCATGATGCGCGTGTCGTTTTCGAGCAGTCGCCGCCGGGCCACGATGTCGCGTGTGCTGCTGTTGAGGATCTCGGCGTCAATCATTTCTTCTTCCTTCTCCTCGTCCTTCTTGTCTTCAGCATCCTTCATATCTGCGTCGCCATTTCCCTCATTCTTCTTGTTCTTGTCGTCGTTGTTTTCCTCCTTCTTGCCATCGCGCTCCATATCATCCAGATCCTCGAGCGTCGACATGGTGGCGGTGCTAGGCTGTGAGTGTCGGAGAGCAGCACTGTTGTTTCAGCAGAGGATGGGGATTTGGCGGCGCACTTAATGCAGCAGATGGAGAGTTGCGTAGCGGAAAGTGGATTTTGTTTGATGAACACAACTGAGCTTCAACTTCAACTTCAGGCACGATGCGTTGCGTAGTTTCCCAAGCTCGGACCCCCACAGCCACCAGCCACCCGCCACCAGCCACACGCGCTGGAGTCCGCCCGCCCCACCCCAGAAGGATTGCATTCACGTCTCCATTCGTGTCTTTCACATGCCGATCACCATGTTTCTTCCCACCCTGTCCTCGCTCCGTCCCTCATGGATGTCTCATGCTTGCCAAAGAATTGCACACCCACAGCCCGGAGTGACAGCCTCGCAGCCTGAGCCGTGAGCTCTGGCCCAGCTGGATGGCCGACCAGAGAGACGCCCAAAACGGTCTGCCATATCGTCCTCAGCTCAGACAAGGCACTCAGTCAACATATCTGAAAGATGTCTACAGGCCACTTGCCCGGGGCAGCATTCGTCTCATAGAGCTGCATGGCCTAGGGGATGACGGCGTGCTACAATGCAATCTTGTTCACAAGAGATTACTGGCACCTGATGCGAAGCCCAAGTACGCCACGATATCTTACACTTGGAATCCGAAGAATAGAATCACGTACGGCAAATATGATGTTGCTTCCAAGCATATCATTCTCGATGGCTTCCGCACTCGCGTCCCTGACAAAGCTGCTACCATTCTTCGTCTAATGTTTGCAGTAAGACATCACATCCTGTGCCCACTGATCAGCTGTTGACCATCATAGCACCGCCGGCGCCGCGTCTGGATTGATGCTATATGCATCAACCAGTCTGATGCCGCTGAGAAAGCCAGTCAGGTTCAGATGATGGGCGACATTTATCGTTTTGCAAATGAAGTGGCAATCATGCTTGGTCCTCCGTCTGACCTGACCGATCACTTCATCGATAGCCTTCATGACACCGAGTCAGCCTTGAAGGAGTGCGAGGAAGGCCCGCGCAAGCTCAATGCAGGCTATGACGCTTTGCGCGAAAACATGTACTGGACTAGACTTGATGTAACTGATGTATTCAGAAGAAGGACTATCTACGGAAAGTCCAAAGATGAAGTGCAGCAGTTGCAGCCTTAGGCATCAGGCACGTGATGGACCCTAATACCTGGATATACACTCCAAGTTACCCCCTCAGTACGTGCATATCGCTATAGAATGAAACAAACATATTAGCTATTCAGTTAGCAAAGCAAACAGGAGGGTATTAGGTAATCAAACAAAACAGGTAAACAAACTAGACTATTCTTATATCTATATAAAGCAAATAAGGGCCCTTTAGTACTTAATAGCTAGCTTTATAGCATTCTTAATAGCGACCCTATAATCTACTAGGTTTAGTTGTTTAATAAAGCGGCCGTGCTTAATCTTATTAAGCGGCTTAGTAAAGCTATCGGCTATCTAATTATATATGCTAACCTATTAGACTATAATAGAACTATTAGCAATCTTCTCTCGGATATAGTAGACTCGAGTATCTATATACTTCGTGCGGCTATTAATGCTAGTCGACTTAGTAATAGTAATAGCGGACTAATTGTCCTCGTAGAGCGTAACTAGAAGAATATAGCCCTTATAGCTAATTTCCTTTAATAAACGAGCTAAGGCAACTACTTCCTTAGCCTCTATAGTAAGTTAGATATACTTAGCTTTAGTTAACGATAGTATAACAAGCGTCTAGCGGCCGGACTTATATAATAGAGGTCCGCCTACGATAGTAAAGTAGAAGCCGCCTATAGAGCGACGAGTAACTAGATTATTAGCCTATAAGGCGTTACAGTAACTAGCGAATTTAAGGTCGTTAGCCTCGTTCTAATTGCCTTAAAAGCGTATGCTACGGCTTAGAGTGCTAACTAGGTACTTAATTAGCTAAAGAAGCGCGGTATAATGCTCCTCGGTCGGGTTTGAAATAAATCGCGATAACAGGCTAGCAGTATAGCAAGCATCCGGCCGAGTAATTATTGCTAGCTAGAGGGCTTTACTAATACCCTCCTAATATTGAGTCTTAAAGGCAGCACTAGCTATATAGCCTTTAGGTACACGCTAAATCGATATCTTAACGTATCGAGGCGCTATTAGAGTAGCTAGACCGACACGGCTACGCATACTATATTTCTTACTAAGCCTATTCAGATAGGCATCCTAAACGATATAGATAGTGCGCTAGTTACAGTTACGGATAATCCGCATGCCGAGATAGTAGTATAGGTTACTAAGTTCTCGTATATTAAATCGGTCCTTTAGCATCTAAGTAACGGCTTCTAGTACTAATAGGCTATAGGCGATAATAATTATATTATCGACGTAGATAACGATAATCGAGCCGCTAATAACGTGTTTAAACATATATACGTTAGTTATTATTAGTACAAAGTCTAGGCTCTTTAAGTACTTCCGAAGCTCTTTATACTATAGCATTAGTAACTGCTTTAGACTATATAGTGCCTTTAGTAATAGGCAAACTATGCCCTTGCTACTACGGTCCTTAAAACCGTATAGCTGTTTAACGTAGATCTTATGCTTATCGCCGATAAGGGCATTAAGGAAGGCAGTTAGGATATTATACTGTTTAGCCTCTAGGTCGTAATAAGCAATTAAGCTAAACAGTGCTCGTAGCGTAGATAGCTTAGCGACAGCCGCATAGGTCTCGTTATAATCCTGTCCTTTAACCTATATAAAGCTACGGACGACCTAACGAGCCTTAAACCGGCTTAGATTGCTATTAGCGTCTCGCTTAATAGTAAAGACCTATCGGCTACGGACAACCTTGCGACCTTTAGGCACCTCTAACCGAGACATATGCACCTATATATAGTTGTCGATTAGTAACTTATACTTAGCCTTATAGGCCTCCTTCTACTATAGCTAATATAGTAACTAAGTCGCCTCCTTATAGCTCTTCGGAATAGGAATAGTCTCCTTAGGCTTGTTAGACTATTTAGCAATGTAATAGGAAGCTATAAAACCCTTAATATAGGCTATTAGCATATTAGCTATTATACGTCGAGTTAACCGCTTAATACTACAATTAGCTAGATAGCTACGCAACAGGTTACGAGCCGACTTGTTACTCCGTATCTTACGCGTAGAACGATTACTAATAGCCTTAGGAGGTCGCTTAAACTTAGGTAACTAGCCTAGCTCGCCCTTCTTAGCGTTTAGATTATATGCTAGCTCTTTCTCGGCTAACTAAAAGCTATCTTTATTACTTGAAGTTAGTAGTTAAACTAGTTAAACGTCTAGAAGGTCGTTATCGATTAGCAACGGATTAGCGACCTTATCGGCCATTTCCTATGTAGGTCCTTGTTTAGGCTGTTCTTCTTGCTAAGCTAGAAGCCGCTAGACTATACTAGTAGCCTCGGCAGGCGACGGAGCCTCGTTGCTTATAGAATTGAACAAAGCCGGCATAATAGACTTAAGGGTAACAAACTCGTTCTTAGACAAGTCGTTAGTGTTAGTATATAGCTTTATGCTATCTAGAAGCAGGAGGTTACCCCCTAACTTAACAAACTAGACGTCCTTAGAAGCGATAACTTTGTGTTAATTAGGTAAGTAAATTATGTATTTTCTAGAGTCTATAGAGCCCTTAGTATAGCTAACTAGCTTGCTAACTAGGCCTCTACTGTCTATCTTCTTTCCGCGAGTTACACTGTAATCGTAGGCAACTATAGTATAGCTATAAGCTCGAAGGTACTATAGGTGTAGCTATATTCGTAACTAATTGAGCTCCTTAGCTATAATAGTATATAGGCTTCCTCTATTAGCGGTTAGCGTAATATTAAGGACCTGTATAGCGGAGGCAACAGTATATAGCTATAGAGACTTTAGAAGGTTAGCCTATAGTATTATCTTTCTCGCAGTCGTATATACGATGTAATTGCTAACCTTAGTAAGGCTATTCTAAGTTAAAGAATAAGGAGCTATAACCTATAGTATAATGCCCTAATTACGAGCCTAGCTTAATAGCTAATTTCCGCCGTATTTACCCCCTCTATCGAGGCGGTAGATTGGGATTAAGTAACTAGTCTATATACGGATATGTACACGATAGTCCTTAATAGCTACTGCAGCCCCTAACTTGAGCGTGCTAGCATATTCGTATCGATAGCCTAACTTAGCGCATATAAACAGTGTAAAATAGCGCTCCTGTAATAGACTAGGATTAGTAATAGTAACTACATCTATACAGATAATGTAATAGATCGTAGATAGTCGTACGCGTAGCAGCCGATTGTATTCCTTGTGTAACATAGCTATACGACAGGCAATGTAGTTGCGGAAGTCCTTCTTAGCACTAGTAATAACAATCTGACCCTCAGATTCTATTCTTAGCAGCTTACGGTAATAAATATAGCTATATCGCAGATGCTATTCATCTATAGTGCCTATTAGTACCCCCTTCTTCGATAGAAGAGCAACAACCTAACCCTTAGGACTAGAGGTAGGTATATACAAATAGGGGAGACCATTCTTTCGGTATGTCTAAGCAATAGTAACCTTAGAGCCGTTAATAACAGTAAATAGTATACGCTTATTATTCCGATAGAAACAGCCCTTATCGGCAAGCTTCTTAGTAGATAGGAGGTTAGCTACTAGACCTAGTATATATAGTATATTAGACAACTTTATATTGCTTATACTACGCTTATTAACAACCTCTGTCTAAGCTATACTAACTATTGTAGCGTACTTTGTGTTGCCTCTAAACCGGACAGGAATGTAACAGCCTTCGTATTTAATAAGCAATAAAGGGTTATTAACTATATATATACTAGTACCTAAGTCGACAACCTAATTAGTAGTACGAGTGCTAGCCGTAAGAGCCGTAGAAACCTAGTCGCTAACAGTAACTATAGTAGCGCTTGCAGTAAAGGCGTAATTGTAGTTTAGGTCTAATAATACCCCCGGGGTAGCATTAGCCGCATACAGCCTCTAAGTACTATTTTAACTACCCTAACTAGACGGCTGCTGTTGCTGCTAAGCAGTTAACGCCTGTTATTGCTTCTTCTTAGCCTTCTGCTTCTCGCGACGAAGACGGTCTTCTTCCTTTAGGTAAGGGTATTTAGTATAGCACCGATCGGATAGGTAAGCGCCTTAGCAGTATAAGCACTTCTCGCGATTCTGACTATTCTAGCTATTTTTACTACGACTACGACTATTATTGCTATTTCCGCGGCTACTACGACCGCTACAGTTCGAGTTACCTCGACCGCTATTATTGTTGCTATTGCTACCTTGCTATTATAGTTAGCGCTAAAGACTAAAGAAGCTATTATATTAGGCCTAGTTTAATTAAGCTATATTCTTATTAAGTAACGCGCTAATAATGTTGTTAAGTGTGTTATCGTTAATAGTGTATTCGGAGGCGCGCATCTACTCTCGGCGTATCTATACGAAAGCCTCGTAGAATAGAGAGATCTATATAATAAATATATAGATAGCCTAGTATTAGCTAATAGCTAATTTAGTATCCTTTAAGGCACTAAGCTTCTTCTTATACTTATTATAGAACTTCTTAATGTCCTTGCTATTATACCGAAGGGTAATATATTCCTAGTAGAGTATAAATTTAGTAGACCTACCTTTACTAGTATATTTCTTCTTAAGGAAGTCCTATACTTCCTAGGATATAGACAGACTAAGTAGTAACTATTAAATATTACTAACACAATTAGCGAAGATCTAGGTACGCGCCGTTTGATCTTTGGAGTCCTATTTATCTTAGCGGTCTTTAAACTCCTTAGAAGACTTACTAGAGGCCTTAGAAAGGGGTCGCTAGCGAGTGCCTTATATATAGCGCTAAACCGACATATCTTTAAGAGCGCCTTTAGTAGTATATAACTATAACAAGTAGTTCTCTTTGTTCTTTAGCTTAGGAATGTTGCTTATATAAGCGCTAGAGGTTATAGAGGGAGCTATTATAGATAGCGACGGCGATAATATAGAAAGAGACTATAGACTTGTTTTAAGAGGTCGCCGATAGGCGCGCCTATATTATATAGCAGATAGCTAACACTATTGTTATATAACCGACTCGAGTTAGGACTAGTACCTGCTAGAATACTCGAGGGTAGTAGCAGCGACGATAATAGTATCGGCGTAATTTTTAGTAACGAGCGCTAGCTACGTAGCTATTAGAGTAACTATTAGAATACGTAGTAAACGTGTTATGTGCGTTAGAAACGCAGGGGGCTTATAACCACTTAATGTAACTGATGTATTTAGAAGAAGGACTATCTACGGAAAGTCTAAAGATGAAGTGCAGCAGTTGCAGCCTCAGGCATCAGGCACGTGATGGACCCTGACACCTGGACACACACTCCAAGTACTAGAGCCTGGACTCTGCAGGAGATCAGCCTCGCAACCTCTGCCAACATCTTCTGTGGCTCTCGGGTGGTCGACTTTCAGTCCTACTACAATTTCCGTGAGAGAGTTGAGACGGATGTCCAATCCAAGGCGTTTGCAGTGGTCGACAAGACCGCAGTAGGTTTCTTGGCCGATGCTGTCAAAGGTGGCCGGCGTTTCAACGCCGACATCGCGGAAGAACGCTATCAGACTGGATTGATTATCGAAGGATCTGGAATAGGCTTTCTTGAGCTGATGCGGAGGACAAGGCTGTGGCATAATTGTCTAGCCCCCAGAGACAAGCTTTACTCGCGGCTTGCGCTTGCCCACGATGCGAGGACGCTAGTCCCTAGTGTTGACTACAAGTCTACCACAGAGTCTGTATTCAAAAGCTTTGCAGCAAGATGCATTTTTTCGACCGGGACTTTGGAGGTCATTACCTTCGCGAACAAAACCAAGATGACTCTACCGACATGGGTGCCAGATTGGTCTTCACCCTCCAAGGATTGGCAGTCCCGGAAAACAGCGTTGGTCGAAGCCATACAGACCCTTCCCTGGACCGACAACCCTGAATTGAGAGTCTCAGCGGATGATACGACGCTTACAGTCCGAGGTATGGTTCTAGAAACGATTACTGCCAGCTATGCCGCAGTCCTGAGATATTACATCACATACTTCTCGCCCTATCACGTCCCGCGAGACGCATACTCTTGGTCTGAGATCCCTCGTAAAGGCGACCATATCTGCGCACTTCAAGGCTGCAATAGCCTCGTATTCTCGCGAAAGGTCCAGACACACTACATAATTGTTGGCAGATTCGTTGCTTGGCAGGAGATGTTGGAGCGTGGTCTCTTTCCGGAATCAAGAATCAGTCAAGTCTGCTCACATGCGTCACCTCAACTCCTCCCCGGCGAAGAGTTGGTTTTCGAAATACGATGATATCCCCCACAATTTCACGCCATCAACAGCTATTATCTCGTTAGGCCTGCTTCCCAGGCTGGCGTTACCCTTACTGAGTTGGATTGCGAATGGATTTCTCCGTTAGAATCCTCATTCACTCCGTATTACGAATGCTCAAAATGTGGCTATCGGATTGCAAGTCGACATTGTGGCGAATACCACTTTGAGCGGTTCCGGATCGGAACAGTAGCTGGTCTCAGTCCTGGTGAATAATAAACTTTCGACTAGCGTCACATCTGGTTCACAAGCAAACAAGATATCTACTCCTATTCTGACTTGATGACTGCTACTCTTCTGTAACTGTCGTTCTTGCGCGACTCGATCATGGCCTCCGCAAACTCGCAAGCCGATTCCTATACCTTCGAGCAGACAGTGAAGAAGGAAGATGCACCGCATTGGCAGAGCAACGTCGATAAAGTGCTGCAACAACACACTCGGCAAATGCTTGAAACTTATTCCGGAATAGCCCCGAGCGACGTACTCGCTCATATCAAGCATGCTGTATGCAGCGGACTTCGTGTTGCCCTGTCATTAGACCAATGCTGACACGATCATCACAGCAACAGCGTGCATGGGCTATTGCTCCTTTCGCATCAGTCGGTGCCTTGACTTGGCTCAATTCATACTTGCGGCTGCATATCTCCTACGACACAGTGCTCGATCGTGTCAGATCTGGTGCCTCTATTCTGGATTGCGGTTGCATGATTGCACCTGATCTCCGCGAACTAGCATACGCTGGTGCACCCTCAGTCAAGATGTACGGCTTCGACATCCAGCCTGGATTTTTCGAAATTGGCTATGACTTTTACAAGGATTTGGACAACTTCGAGGGCCATTTCTTCCCGGCGGACGTACTGAAAGATTTCTCCGAGTCTCAGCTTGCATCTCTGACAAGACGAATCGACATTATCTGGTGCGCGAAGTTCATCCACCTCTTCGATCGGGCCAACCAGCCAATCATGGCCGCGAAATTAGTCTCACTTCTGAAGCCTCGACCAGGAAGTATGTTCTTGGGCTCACAGAATGGGTATCCTGGCGGGCACGATATCTTGATCAAAGAAGGCAACCAGAGGATCCTACCGCAGAGTGATAGAATCTTTCTTGGGGACGCAGAGCATATCAAAGAGATTTGGGCTGAAGTCGGAGAGAAGACCAACACGAAATGGAAAGTTGAGAGTAGACTACTGGACCTGAGGACTATTGGACTGCACGACGATGATGGAAGCCCGTATAAAAAGTTCACTGGTTACAATCTGCAGTGGACAGCGACAATGTGCTAGCGTCTTCGTGAGAGAGATGTTCTCAAATCGCTCTTACCATTCAAATGTATGGTAAGACTGACGCTTAGGCAGAACTTCGCCCGATCTCTTCTCATTCCTCTCTTACACATTAGTATGCTTCGTCTGGCTCTTCTTCGCAATCGGCTTTCCCCTTCTCGGCTTGACGACCCTCATTGTTATCGTGGCTTTCCTTGCATTGCGAGCTATTGTCAAACGAAGTCTACGACAACTGTTCATCCGGAAGAGAATAGAAGTGAAGCCCGCACGCCAATGCCGATTGGAGGCGCTCAGCATTATCGAGAGACTCGAATGTCTTCCGTTTTTGAACAAAATGGCCACTCGCCAACATAGGGACCAAACTGATCCTTGACACTGCTGAACAAGCTTGATGACAGAAAATCAGAAACTACCCAGTTGTCTTGAAAAACACGCTTGAAACATTTACAATAAGTTGGAAACCCGGACGTAGCCTCAAGATCTGCGCCAGTTTGGCATCGGTCTTTTGTCGGATCGTGATCCATATTACATCAGAGTGTGGAGGATCGCTGCAAAATGTGCTCTAGGGCTATGCCTCTAATCGAACCTCAAGACGTGAGAATCATACCGTCTTTATTACGAGTACATTCCCAAGATGTCGCTATTATTCGACAATTCCACCTCATCCGAAGGCACCCCATCTCCAGCCGACAGACCATTCACACTCCAAGACATACCAGGAAAAGGCAAAGGCCTAATCTCAACCTGTCAATTATCCCCAGGCGAATGCATAATCTCAGAAACACCACTCTTCACAACCGCCACCCTCACAAATGCAAACACAATCGAACAAGACCTCCGCTCAATCATAAAATCCCTCCCCAAAGACTCCCAGCGAGCTTTCCTCAGCCTCCACAACAACTTCCCAGGCTCTCCAACCCCATTTTCCAACATCGTTCGCAGCAACGGCTACCCTCTCGGACCTTCCAGCTCCATCGGTGGAATCTTCCCACTAGTCTCAAGATTAAACCACTCTTGTCTCCCAAACGCCCAACACGCGTACAACGAAAGACTCGGAAAAATGCTCGTCCACATCATCCGTCCCATCCTCCCAAACGAAGAAATCACCTTATCCTACATCCCAGGCGGCCCCTCCCCTCAACGCCAAACCGAACTAAAATCCAATTTCCTTTTCACATGTACCTGTACCCTCTGCTCCCTCCCACCCTCAGAGAAACAGAAAAGTGACCAACGTCTCACCCGAGCCGCAACTTTGGACCAAATCATCGGCTCTCCGAAATTGGTCTATACTTCTCCTCAAGAATCTCTCACTTCTGCTCATCAACTTTACAGAATTTACATCGAAGAAGGGATATCTGATCTCCGTCTTCCGAGGTTATTCTACGACGCTTTCCAAATCGTCGCTATGCACGGAGATTTTGCGCGAGCGAGGGAATTTGCGAGGTTGGCGAGGGAGGCGAGGAAGATTTGTGAGGGTGGGGAGAGTGAAGAGGTTCAGAGGTTGGGAGGGTTGATGCGGGATCCGAGAAAATTTGAGAATTGGGCGGCGGCGGGAACGAGGTGGAAGACTACTGGGGGTGAGGATCGTGTGTCGAGTCGGGATGGGGAGGAGTTTGAGAAGTGGTTGTGGAGGCAGTGAGGAAGGACGAAGATGAAGGCGATGGAGAAAGTGCGGTGTGGGTTACGGATTTCGTGGTTGTCGATCTTGATTACTTTTCTGTCCTTGCGATGCCTCGAACATGTTGGTGACCAGGTGACGAAGCCATGTTTTGTACGATGGACGTTCTCAGGCGTTCGACCGAATACATGTACTTATTGAAAACAGAACATGTGCCAACGAGCAATGAGTAAGCCATTTCCAATCCTCTACCTACCTCCCTTCACCTCCTCCTCCAAACAACCATCCTCCCACCCCTACTCTGATCCCTCATAATCCCAATCTCTTCCATCGACAAAATCTCAATCTTCCCTTCCCCCCGCAACCTCTCGATTTCGTTCTTATACCCCAAACTCTCAAAAATCTCCTCATAGATCGTAGCAATCACTAATCCCTGCCCTCCCCCTCTAACCACTCTGCAAAACTCACCTAGACATCCAGGTCCAACATGTCCTTTCGTCAAAGTGCCCACACAAAGCAAAAAATCATACTTCCTATCCTTAACCCCTTCAATTTTTTCATTCAAATCTATAGTCTAAAGATCTCGATACAAATCTTTCGTCCTCGCAATATCTAACATTCCCTAAGTGAGATCTATACCGTCTATCTTCTATTCTTCCTTCCCCTTCGCTTTAGCTAATTCTTCTCCGACGAGACTAGTTCTATATCCTATATCTAGAATTTGCACTACATTTTCAAGTTTTAGAGGCTAGAATTTTAGTGCTATTTAAACTGCGGCTTAGGGAGAAGCGTAATTATGTTTCGCTAGGTCTTTAACGTAGTCTTTAGCCTATTCGTTATAGAGGTTGCGGGCTAAGGAGACGTCTAAGTTTAAAGCGTAGGCGCGTTAGAGATACATATTGTATTAGTCTAAGGTTAATATGTTTGTTTTTTATAAGGGAGGGGAGTGCGGTATAGGGTATATAGGTCTAAGAACGTATAGAGAGTAGAGTATAGGGATATATATAGCTATAGACTATATAGCGAACGAGTAGAGAACTCGTCGTCTATAATATAATAACTTAATAAAAGTTAGGGCCCCTTTAGGCTTAGTGCGGCTCAAAACGGGCTAACGGCGGCCTCTAATTAGTAGACGCGAGGAACGTTAATACCTTAGCGATCTAGAAGGGCGTAGACGTCGTAGTATATACCGCGACGAGCTATAACTTCGATAGTAGTCTCGAAAAGGGCGTCTTCGTCGTATATACCTTATCTAGCGGTATTTGCTCGAAGCGGTATACTCGATCGCGCTAGTAGCCTTACGGGAAGCGTAATTTAGTACGTACGACCGGTACTAAGGCCCTACTATCGCGAGCTCCGCTATCGGGATTTTATAAATGCGACGCTATCGACCCTCTTAGTCGCTATCGTAGCTCTATCGACCTCTACGGCCTTCGAGAAGCTATACGAAATTGCGGTATCCTTCGCTCGCGAGTTCTAAGGAAGGCGCGCGTCGCGTATACGACTATAGTAGCCGCGTATAACGCGCCTATGTCTAGAGATATAACGACTTTAGTAGGCGCGCGGTTATTAATTGCTACTATAACAACCTAATATCGCGATCGACTATTATAGACTCTACTAGAACCGACCTCGATCTAACTCCCCTAGCCGCCGGATACTTATTCGCGTCGTACCGGTATAAATCTAATAAGGGCCCGCTACTAACTACCTATCGTAGTCTCTCGAGGCCTACCGCAATACTCGCGAAGATATACGCTTAAGATTATAGTCTTAAAGGGTCCGAGGTATAGAAAGCTATAGTAAGTAGTATAGTAGCGGTCGTACTCCGATATAGCGGCTAACAATTCTAGTACGAGGAGGTTTACGGTACTCGGTAGGAATTACCGTAAGAGTCGGTAGTTTTCTTTACGAAGATATAGCAAGACTCGCTACTACTTAGCCCGCTATAGAGGATTCTCGATCTACGGCGGTTCGGCTTGTTTCCTTCGTTTAGTATCGTCCCTCGGAAGCTAGACCTTAGGTAGATATTCGAATCGTAGCTAGTAGAAGGATCGACTATCGCGAAGCCTCTTAAGGTATTTTATATCGCTACTAGCCTTTTCTATAACGACGTCGCCGATAAGGCGGCTATAAAGGTCCTCGAGATCTAGTATTAATTCGATACGATATCCGGCTATAGTATTAGCGTCGCCTTGCTCTTAGAGAGTACTACTCGCGATTAGGAATAGACGGTATAGCTCCTAGCCCTATTTAGCGATAAGTACGCTAAGATAACCTACTTCTTAGACTATTTCTAGCTCCTTCGTAACGGTATAGGCTTCGACTAGGTAGCGACGTAGAGTTGTCTCTTAACTATATACGGCGCTCCTATCCGGCGAAAGCCTTCCTTATTATTATTCGGTCTCGCCCCGCTAGAGGAGTATTGTAGCGAGTCGAGCGTTATAATAAACTAAGGCGCGGGCAATCGTAGTATAGAGTATAAGGGAGAATATAGTATTTAGGGAGGTTGCGGAAGGAAATCTACGATAATCTTAGTACATTTATTGTAATTTTTAGCGTACTATCTACTTAACGGACATCTTTTTATATCCCTCGATACGATATAAATTTATAGCTCTAGAAGACATATCTTACTAGATTATACTACTAGAGGTAGACGACGCGCTCCTTCGCCTTAACTCGAGTCCTTAACGACTTCGTTCGTATTAACACCTCCCTAGCGATAATGCCGACGTTATAGTAGTAGGATCTAGGCTAGAGTAGCAAGCGTAAGGTCGAGGGTTCGTCGTCGCGTCGTAAGAGGCCGTTATTATTATCGCGGGTCGCTTTATATCGTCGCTTTATATCGTCGCTTTATATCTATTAGCTAGTATAGGCTTAGCGCGCGGCGACGGTTACGTATACAAATAGTAATATTGCGGCGTTGCGCGTCGTCTAAATATTACTACTATAATAACTAATATAGCGACTACTTCTACGTAGCTATATCTACCTCCTTCTAGTTATCGATATTACTAGTAGCGACCTCGATAAAGGCGCCCCTCCTATACGGTCTTGCCTGCTATAGCCCTTCCTAATAGTAAGTCTCTAGCGTATCGGTCGCCGTACGCTACCTTCGCTAATATCGAGCTATAGAGATAGACGTTCTACGTAGTATACCGTAGCGAGCCTTTTAATATTAGGAATTAAATCGCGCTATAGCCGAGATTAAGCACCCCCGCGCTTCTATACGACTTCGCTAATAGCTCGCTATAGGCCGGGCCCTAGTATATTAAGAAGCGCTATAAGACATTTACAAGTTAGTTACTAAGGAGGTATTACGCCGCGTACGCGAGAACCGCAATATAGACAAGAATAACGGCTTCTCTCCTAAACCTCCGTACTATAGCGTTATAGATTACTAGCCGTCTAGGCATATATCGAGATTAGTATCTCTAGTTATAAATAAGATCTACTAGCGAACGGAGTCTCGGGACGAAGAATATATAGCACGTATTCTCGCATATCGTCTAGTATATAGTAGTAGAAAGCTAACTCCTATAGATCTCCGTACCTAAGTAGTTATAGGATAAGTACCTAGACGGTAACCTTAACGTTGTTACTACTTAGGCGCAACGGGAAGAGCAAATAGAAGGGTCTATCGTCTACGTTAATCTATATACGAATGCTAATAGGCTCGACGAACTCGACGAGTTCGAGCCGAGACTATACCTCTAAAAGTCTAACTCGCTATTTCCTCGGTATTGTCGCTAGGTATATCCGTCGCGTACCCTAAGAATATAGCGCTTTTACTAACTAGTTCTAGATCGAATTCGCGCAGATAAAGCTTGCTACTATATAGCCGTTTAGTATAGATCGCTTTGTCGTCGTTCCTTTACGCGCGTATCCTACTATAACGAGCCGAACGGATAGTACCTTCGTATAGAGGGTCTTAGTTAGGTACGACCTACGGTTGTTAGAGGAAATCTGTCTTCCTAGCGCTATCGATACTTTACTATAATATAACTAATCCTTCGACTTTCTACGAAACGATAGCTATATTAAATACTACGACTTCTTCGACGTAGAGGTAGGAAGGGACTTCGATATAAAAAGGAGGCTATAGTTAGTATAGAATGCTACTAATTTCGGTTATACTTAAATCGATATAGACGACGCGATAGTAATCCTCGATATAGGGCGTAGGAATAGAGAGTTTTATCGTCTAGAGATATATATAGGAATAGGAGAGTAGTACGTTTCCTTAGTACTACTATAAGTACGGTGCTCGCGCCCTAGAGACAGACGCTATCGTAACTTAGAAAGAAGGCGGAGGAGCCTAAGTACGGTATCGTAGGTAGAGCAATCTATCTCCTTTAGTTTATAAACTTTCCGTACTTATTGTCGTCTCTAGGCTATAATTTGCCCTTACGCGACGTCTTCGATAGCGTAGCGGCGCGTAGAGTGTATTTAAAGCTGCATCTCGTTCTTGCTACGCGTAAAGACAATACGCTCTCTAAATAGACGGCGGTACCGGATAAGTTAGAGGCCCTAGATAGACCGACACGTTTAGTTTTAGTCTCTATCTCGTCTTAGTATAGATAAGAAAGCACGTACCTTAGAAGGCTAGGGGTTTTTTTAATATATATAAAGTTCTAGTATCCCTAAAATACGCGGGCGCTCCCGCTTAGCGCGGCAGCTCCCGGATATAGGGAAAATCACGTATAGGAACTCTAGAATTCGCGGCTATAGCCGGCCGCCTTACGCGAGCGCAAAAGGATAGCTAATAGAGGATTCGAACCTCTAATGCTAAAAGTTATACCCTCGCTAGTCGCTACCCCGTATCTCTATAAGGACTACGAGCGAATAACTCTTACTATCTAGAACCGATCTAATTAGCTAGAGGGTTATAGAATACAGATAATTATATAAATTAAAAAAAAAAGTTATAGCTAATAAGGGAATTAAACCCCCTATCCGGACGATCTAGTAGATCGTAGATCGCCTTATACTAATTTTACCGTACCCTTAAAGGTGCGGTCGGCTAATATATTCGAGCGAATATAGTTCGGCATCTCGCTAACTAAGGCTAGCTTTAAATAACTAGCAAGGGTATAACCTTTAGGACTACCTAATTAGCTAGAGGTCTCTATTTACGTAGCGGCTATAAGCGTCCCTACTCGCTTAGCTCCGGTTACGTATTAGAAAGCCGCTCCTATCTAACCTCGCCTTTCTTTGCTATAGGAGAACGTATAGTATCGGTAGAGAGTAAATAGAGGATTAGCGGAGACGACGCGAGGAGCGGGCGAGGTTTAGGAAAGGGACTCCCTTTTTACTATTAGGATAGCGTAGATCGATACGTTTTACTAGTATTTCGCGACGACGAAAGCGTAGGTAGTAAATAGAGGACCGGCGGAGACGACGCGAGGAGCGGGCGAGGTTTAGGAGAGGGACTCCCTTTTCGCCGTTAGGATAGCGTAGATCGATACGTCTTACTAGCATTTCGCGACGCCGAAAGAGTAGGGAGTAAATAGAGGATTAGCGGCGTATACGGTCGGTACAATTTTCGCGGTAGTAGCGAGTATAGGAGAG